GGTGGCGACAAAAGACTTCATTACCGCATCGTATCTCGTCATTACGTTCCATTCGGCTCAAAGTTGGCGAAGGCAATATAATGACATGACGTTTCCACGAGAGATCGATAAGCCCGTAAGAAAGGCAGAGAAAGTCGTTTTTCAATTTTCACATTAAACCATATATTACTTCGCTGCAAATTGATCGGTTGCGACATTTTGGTTGATACGAATTAATCATCCGTTAATGAAATATAGAACCATAAATAAAACTTGGAATATTTCGCACATGATAATGTCACGTGATTTCGGTCTTTTCGGGAGCGCGCGTGTTCTCTTATCGTCTTAAGAGCAATATTTATTATTGAACGCGTGCAGTTTAGGAAATAACACCATCCAAAGTTTCGGCCGACACCTGCGCGTCTGCAAAGGGGTTATTGCGAGCAACAAAATCCACGCTAATAGACAGACAGACGGACGGCAGCTGCAATAGACAGGTGGCAGGATCGAAATCGCGACTTCGAAATTTATGCAACAAACTCGGCTTCTGCCGGCTTCTGCTCTTAGATTAAACACACGTGCGATCACCCCGCAGATGTGTTCATTCTACAGAGAAAAAAGATGCGAATTTAAGCTATATTTTAAAGAGACACACCTGTCGATTCATTAAAAAAGAATACGTAAATCAAACCTAGTTAGATAGATTTTATAGCTTTCAAATAATATAGCGGACGTAAGATTAGGCCGAATGGCAGATAACTGTGCAAATAAATCGCGCTCGAATTTTTGCACGAACACAACCGCATTAATTATGAATCCTGGAAACACTAATGAACCATAAAATATATATATAACCACACGAAGCGAACGTATATATATGTTTCATGACGACAATTTCCTTCATCGTTCCTCGATTTGATTGCTTCGTCAAACGAGTCGCGAGAAGAAGACGATTCCGTTCGAGCGGGTTCACGCAGAGAAGTTCATCTCTTCGGCGAACGAGGGATCATAATAATCGACGGTTTATACTCTTCCACTCGGCTAATCTCCAAGTGCGATAGGATATATTAGCGACGCGATACTATTGCGATAATAATACTACCGTCATCGTTTGTTATGTCAACATCGCGATTTACAGTTGCTCCATTAGTAGAAGAGTGCCTCTTCTCTTCTTCTCTTCTCGGAACGGTTTCTTATCCTGTATCGTCCCGCGCGATGATATTTCGATTAGCCAAGGCTTATCATGTCGTCGATGACGATGGCTTTCGCGGAAGCGAATCTCTCTCGCCCACCCTCTCACACCGGTATTTTCCTCCCTTCTCTTCGTGAACCGATCCAAGGCCGGTCGTCACGCACGGCAGTTTAGCGACTCCGCTTTCGCGTCGCGTAATCTGCGATTACGCCTCTGCGACGTGCGAGGAGTTAACGATACCGACCCGGCCGGATATAACGGTACGCGAACGTGTTTTCCCGATAAAACGCGTATAACTACTCTGGGAAACTGGTATATAGACACTTTTTAACGAGCGCGATCTTTCGATGAAATCGATACGATCTACGCAATATCTTCTCTCCGATGGAACACGACAACATCCAGCTATCGTGTTTCGCGTTTCAACTACTCTCTTAAAGGAAAAAAAAATTCTTCCGTAATTACATTCCTCTTAATATTAAATTGCTTTTGTGCGTATGTGTGTGCGTGTTCAGAATGCACGCGAGTTGCGGATAACGAAGATCAATGTCTCCCTTCGAGCGGAGAAGCTCGCCGAGCGGAACGGAAGGATTTGCGCGGTGGCGACGTCTGTCAGAGATTAGATCGCTAATTGCAATCGAAATCGCGACCCGATCCTATACGCGTTCGCTTAAAATCCGCGCGTGTCAACCCGACCTACGTCATCGGCACGTGTGTCTTTCTTGCTCCTCGTTCTCTTTGTTCAGCCGGGGGACAAAGAGAAAGAAAGAGAGACACGTCAGATAGGTTTGCCTCCGTAATAGCCTGCAATTAGAACGTAGATAACGATTCGCCTCGATAGAGAACGCCCGCGATCACTCGCTCTCAGGCGCGTTCGCATTTGCCAACCTACATTTCGAGGCAACCAGTGGTTCTCACCTGCAACAATACTCGCGAGATCGTTCCCTTTGTGTCTCGACGACCTGTGATTAAAGCTTCGCGTGAAAAAATCAATTACCATAAGTTAAATTTTAGGTGTTCCTATATATCATACCTGAAATTAGTTACCATTAGTGCCTATGTAACTTTTAGCTACGGGAACTAATATTTTTTTCATATGTGCGGTAAAGATGGTTGAATATTTTTATATGAATACTTTAATATGCCGATTTTGAAAAAAATATTTTATAATTAATTTCTCCAAGTCGTACGCGATGGCGTCATCCCGGTAAAAGGACCACCGAGAGGACGAGCCGAGAAATACTGACGTGGCTTCCATCTCATTCCCGTCGCGTTCTCCGCGGGGTATCACCTGGTGGACAATGGCCACTAATGATGCTTACTTTGACGCCTGTCGGGCGGTCCTTTCGTGCCGTATCTATCTCTTGACTGGTGGCCGTCTCTTATACCGGGAGATCCTACGTCGCGCCTTTAATGGGCGACATCCGAAAGATATTTTCCCGCGTTCTCCTCTTCCTCTTCGGCTTTCCCATCTTCGGACATAATGAACGACGTTCGACGTCGCTTCCTACGTAAACATATTCCGCCTTTCGTCATGCGTTCTCCATTTCTGCTATATTGCGCATTGATTTCCCTCCCGATATCCGTCATCGATGCCTTTTTTCCTTGTAGCTGTACGTATATATATCTTTGTAAAGAATAAATATACATATACACAAACGAGCGTTACATTTTGAGATATTTTCCAACCGAGGGGTCTTACATTGTGCGCAAGCAATCCTTCATCGAACGAGGACGAGATCAGGAAACGTGACGCTCTCTCGTTACCGGCGCGAGCAAAGAACTTCCCTTCCGAAATGCGCGTCGCACTTCCTCATGGGACAACCTTTTACGCAATAAACGTAAACGCGTGCTTTCACTACTATAACGCTGCTCGAATTTAGGCCCGCGGTTCTAACTACGTGCATTGCCCCTTTGCGAGTTCGCTTTCTAGCGACTCTGTTTAGATTAGATCGTCGGATTACAGCGAAGTAATTTTCTCGCTCGCGATGAAACTTCCCTCGCTCAACGATCGACGCGAATGTGTGTGTTCTCATATTAACGTGAGCATCTCGTGTTCTATGAATTTTTTTTTTAATAAAACGAAGGTTCTGGTTTTAAAATTTTCTTTAATTAAATCATTTAATTTAAACGTTTCGGTCCTTCTTTTCAATCGTCTTCGGTAGATCGATTGAGAAAAATTATGTCTTCTATAAATTCCACTCGTTGAGAGATGATGAAAATCAAATAATAATAATCGCAAAAAGTTGGAGGAAATTAATTTTGAAATTGATTAAAAAAGAGTGAAAAAGGAATTCATCAAAAATATAGACCATAAATCGACATTCTTTCGCTCTAGACTCTAGAAGCTTAGGAAAAAATGGAAAGATCGGAGGAGGACACGAAGAGAGACTGTTTAAGATTCCACCGCGATCCGAAGGAAAGAGAGGCGCTTAAATACAATAATTTTAAGCGTGCATGCATGTTTGCGCGCTTATGCTTACGCGAATCGTACGCATACATAACTCTCGAGGCTTGCACAATATCGACGTGACGTTAAGCCTCTGATAACGGTATTATTACATCCGTTCGTATTATTACACCCGGGGATATCGTTCCGTGAAAAATTCACGTCTATACCTACATATATACCGATGCACATTGCATTCTCGCCGCGATGATTTAACCCTCCGAATGTTCCAATATTATATACCTTAACGTACGCCTCGCTCGTATGTAGGACGTTCTCGGTCTCCGCATAATTGGAAAGGTTTTGCAATCACATCGCAGGATTCAATATATCGCAATCAATTGCAATCTCTCCGTTACATTACTCCCTGGAAGCGTTCAATTCCGCGATCCAATCTCGGATTCCAATTCGCGGTCGCAATTTGTCATCCGATCTACAGCGGAAAAAGTCGAAAGTTTTAATACATTATGCATTGCAATCTTCGTCTTACATTTAAATATATACACATATATAATATATGACATTTTTTTCTGTGAAGAATCACACTTGGCGCTCCTAATAATCGCGAAAGCATGAGGGAAGAAACGAAATGCATTACTTATTAATGGAAAGAGAGTGAAAGCGGCCGATCATTTTACGTGTCTGTGTGCACAATTTAATTCCTCCTGCGATATTATTATTGTCTCCCTCAATGTCTTCATTAGACTGTATGTATCGCCCGTAGAAACGCAAATGACAGTAATTAGCGACAGCGCGCGCTGCCATACACCGATCGTTCACTGAGTCACGATTACGCCTGAAAAATTATGAAATTCAATTATTCTCTCGGCGAAATGAAACGTTCGTAATTCGCAATCAACATTTCAATGAACGGACACGCGCGGCCGCGGCAAGAAGGCAATCTCGAGTTACAAGTATTTGCTTGATAATTGCGATTTGTCATCCTCGAAGAATTTCGAATTTTAATTCTTCAAATATTAATGAAAATATTATTCTCTACTTTACGACACTAGAACAACACAAACGTGTGCCATTCTTCGAGTTTATATTAAAGAAAATGATGTACAGTTTATTTAAACTTGATTAATATTTTTTTGGCAGAAATCAGATAGCTGTCAAAAAATATTAGTAAAGAATTAATTTGTTAACTAAATTTTGATATAATAATAATAATATATGTTAAAAATATTAAAATAGTAAATATGTTATAATATCTTATTCACGGTTAATATTTTTTGACAGAAATCAGCTGATAGCTGTCAAAAATATTAGTTGAATTTAAAGTATTATAACATATTATTTATTTTATTTAATTTTGTTTTGAACACAAACAAGGCAAAATGTAATATTAAAATATACATATTTTTCTTTATTTTGCAGAGGTAAATACGCAACGGTGAGAAGATGCCGCGAGAGGTCCAGCGGCAGGCAGTGGGCCGCCAAGTTCCTGAGGAAACGACGGCGGGCCCAGGAGCTCAGAGTGGAAGCGCTTCACGAGGTCGCTGTACTGGATGCCGCGGCCCATTGTTCTCGTCTCGTCTCCCTGCATCAGGTCTTTGAGACCAACACCGAGATGGTGCTCGTCCTCGAACTGTAAGTACAAGGACGTTTCGCGTCTCCGCCTACATTTCCGATCGCATCATCGTAAATCATAGTCTTCGAATGAAAGAACTCTCGCTTTTTTTTTCCTTATGTTTCCACGCGATAAAACACAGGAGAGAGAAAGAGAGATTGTTACGTTTCGATTATTTGCATCGCGCGACGAAGAGAGAAAATAAAAAACTGAATGGTAAGAGAGGCGGTCCCTGACTACGATGGCGTATAACAGCGTGGAACTTTCTACATTTCGTAATATCTCTGCTAATTATTTAAAAAGTAGGACGGAACACCAGCACCGTGATTTAAACGTGCGTGCATCGCGTGCATCAATCGTAAAATTACAAATTGCATTGATCCGTTCTGACGCGCGTAATGCGCTGAATTTATTTGAATAAATTTTTGTAGAATGAGCCGCGCGTCTCGGTATATCGCGCGAAGAAAAATTTACATGCGAAAAATGTAAATATCGTGTACGATGTGCAGATATATGTTTATTGCGACAGGGCTCCCGGCGGCGAGTTACAAATGATACTCGACCGAGACGAAGTTCCGGAGGAGCGGCAGGTCGCCAGATTGCTGAAGCAGATTTTGGACGGGATAGCCTTCCTGCATTCCCTCAACGTAGCTCATCTCGACATCAAGGTAAGTTTTCAAACATTCAACAATATAATAAAGGATTTAATGAGGATTTAGAAAAATGTATCGAAAGATATAAATAAACTCAACACTCAACATTCCTTCGATAATTCCTCTTCGAAGTATAAAAAATATTTTAATTTTCATAATTTTTGCGTCATGTATGTGTATATATATGTTTAACTGTATTATATACGGGGAATAATAACTTTTTCGTTTTACTTTTTTGGCGGGAATATTTTGACAGTTCATTGCCCGTAATAATGTCGCGGTTTTATCGGCGGTACTAAATTTCCCGTTAAGCGCATATTTTTTTATGTGATATTGGAGAATAACCATCGAAAATGCGAGCGAGATTCTGCACACGATTCGCTTCTTCGCTATATCTCTACAGACGTTAAAAATAACAAGCAAGGTACATACACGAGGAGAGAGATAACGGGCGGAGATTGTCGTTCGTGTAAATAATTCTTATCTCGTTTTTTTCCTCCTCGTCTCGGGGCAGAGCGCTTACAAAGAGAGAGAACTTACCTGAGATATTTAAAGAAAAAACGATACAATTCAACGTCGAATTAAATCGCAATTAAATTGCGAAGGAATTAGCGATTCGGCGCGATAATGATCATTTTTACGAGGAGCGAAGCGTCGAAATGAAAAAGAAAGTCCAAGTGTTTTATCGGTGAAAATATCACGTGGCAAAAAAAAAATATATTTCGTCGCTTTCTCGCCAAAAAAAAAACCCCGAATACCGGTGATCTTGCATCTTTATCGCGCCAAATTTGCGGCGGACGCTGCACTTTCGGGACCGAAGCGCGGGAGAGAAAGAGATTCTCTGGCAAAGAGAGCGACGACATTTCGGGCGCCTCTGGCAATTTCTCAGCTACGGGGCTATGCGCGGCCCGCACGATCGACCTAAATCGTTATGTAAACGTTTACGTTTGCGGCACTCGCTGCCAAACGGCTGATTAGCGTAAGATTCTTACGTGCCGACAGCGCGACACGTACACTTTGTGGCGCGTTTTACGGATAGATATAAATTTTTCGCCCGTCTCCGAATCTTGTGAACATAATTACGATTCCGTATATCATTGCACGCCGCGAAATGTAACGTATACTTTGCCGAGGAAAATTGAAAAACGAGACAAAATCACTCATGTGGATGGCGTTGAGTATATTTTATTTGCTCATGTGTAATTATGATCGCGTAAAGTGGAAGAAATATACGTCTCTTGTGCTTGGCTGATGATTAAAGTTATAAAATAAAATGTGCGAAAATGTAATTGTCTCGTTTTTCAATTTTGCGCATAAATTCCGTCGAGAGAGCAAGAAAGAAACATGTTGGCGTCCGCAGGAGGCATTCGCCCTCCTTGGAGAATCAGTAAAAATTAAGTATTTACTCTCCTTTTGAATAAACACTGGAATTTATTTGTATATTTAATATAAAAAAAAAAAACAAGTAAAATAAAATTAAATTTAAGAAAATTGAGAAAGAACAAAAAAGAAAAAATGTAATTATGCCCTCTCCTGGAAAAAATCCTGCGGACGCCCATGATTCAAAATCAAGTCTTGCTTTACTATCCGTTACGTTATGTCACCTGACACTTTGCGGTGGAAGAAATGAAAATAGATCGGGCACGTATCGAGAGCTCACACTCGATGATTCATCTAATCCCACGCGCCTCTCTCTCTTTCCCTCGGATGTTTCCAAATTCCATTTGAAACGTCATCATGAGCGCCGTGTCGCGTTTTTTTTTTTTTTTTTTTTTTGAGGGTGGGAATGGCGAATAGGAATAAGAGAAGAGAGAAAAGGGACGAGTGGTAAATCGACGACGCGACGCATCCCATTAAAAAAGTCGATGATACCCGCGCGAACACGTGCACGAAACGACGATGCTCTGTTAGCGCCTTTAACGAAACACAACGCGTGACGATGGAATGCCGACGAAATTAAGCAGGCGCCAATGGGACGTTTCCGTCCCACGAAATATTTTCGTACGCGACGACGTGCAAGAGGGACGTCTGTACAGAAATAGTATCTCTTTCTCTCTCTCTCTCTCTCTCTCTTCGTATTTCGTCGTTGCTCACCTCGAGGACAATGTGACGTTTCGCATTATGATGAGGGGAATATATCCAGAGATATCCTCCGCACATAATTTTCTCAGGGGCTAAAAATAATCTTTCGGCGTTCCATTCACAAAACGGAAACGACGTTTCGTAAAAAAGATACGTAATCGAGCTAATATTTCTCTGAAACGGAGGGAAGTAGATTCGGGTCCGAGAATAACCGGGTTCGACGGTGACTCTATAAAAAAAAAAAAAAAAAAAAAAAAACGCAATTGAGATCGATGCCGTTTAAATATCAAATATAATCTGTTCGGTGCCAAAAATAACTTGTTTATCGCGGCTCAAAGTCTCATTGTATCAATAATGATCAGAAATAAATCCCTCTTGAACTTTCGTTATAAACGTCATCTCCATTGTATCGAACTCGTTGGGTGTCGGCTCGTGGTGTGAATAAAGATGAAAAAAAAGGAAGGAAAAAAGTGACAAGCGCGACGAATAATTTCGTCTCGATCGGCGAAGAGTAGCCGAAGGAGACGACGACGATGAGTGCAAACTCGTCGCGTCGATGAGAGTTTCGTTCATATATAATACCCTGACGCGCCAAGTGACAACCAGTTTTCCTATTTGGCGGCGAAGATTTGCAATTTGCACACTGCACTCGCTCGCGCGTAGGTATACAACGAGATATTATACGTGTTTATCGATTATCGGGCGCGATCGATATGGGTGAGCCAAGGTAAGCGAGTTGTATTAATAATGTTCCGGCGGCGATGTTACACAGATATATCCAGGCTCTCGCCTGGGTTTCCAGCACCTCTCGATCTCCCTCCTGTGTCTCCTTTTCTCACGTGGCTCGCATAACGATGTGATGGCAGTTATACAATCCAATTTACCTCGGCTTTCGCAAATTTACGTTAATCGCTCAATTCATTATCGACCGGTATAAATACCTGTCGATTTTATATGCGGTTTCGCGAGTCCGTTAGAAAATTTGTCAGATATATTACACCTCTATGCGAGGTATCTTCAATCATCGTTATTATAGGTATATTTCGCGTTTGCAATAATCGCTGTACGAATAAACGATCGTAATCGCACGTTTTCGCACGACCTTCAGCATCTTATCGATCCTGCCCCGTATTGCGAGATAAAAACGATTACGCATCATCCGAATAGAGGATGATTTGTCCTGATATCTCGGTGTTTTCGAACCGATAAGATAATTTTGCGCGCGAATGATACGCGAACGCTATTGTGCTACGACGACGCAATTTCAGTTAAAGACTCACCATTATAGAGGCAAAATGCGGAAACTTGTCGCATAGCGAAGCGATATTTGCAGATATACCTAAAGCGTCGGTTGCGCAAGATGATGCACGATTTTATTAGCTCGAACGCAATAGGAATACCGCGGCTTTGCTCGAGACGGCGTCCAGCCTCGGCCAGCAGTGAATCATCATCATCGTTCAGTCAGATACCCTCCACGGCGTTTTCGATTCATTGACCCGCGAGAGCGAACGCGGCGTTTATTTTTCGCGCGGCCATTCACGGAACGCGCCGAGAAAAATAAGCCTTCGACAGCTTCGATATGCTTTGGAAGCCGGCCAGATGCAGCAGCATCCGTCAGTCTGCCTTTGCATTTTGCGAAAATACACGTTGTGCCCGCTTTTGTTCCTATATCGACGGCCGCGCATCAAAGCTCCAGACGTGCGACGGAATTCTTTTAAACCATGCGTGCGTTGCATGTTGTGTATGCACATACCAAATATACGAACAGAAGATCGCAGACTTTTATGCAATTCGAGAGACTTGGGCGAGATATTTCTCCTCGGTTATTCTCGGTTATCCTCGACTTTGCGCAGCTTTTTTTTATCTTTTTTTTTTAAGTTGTCTCGTAGGATCTTCGCTCGAACGAATAAGAAACTCTTCAAAGCGCATCTCGTTTGTTACGAAATAAATGTTTCCATAATATTTTTCTTCCTGTATTTTTTATTATTTTTATCAACAACATTGTTCAATAAAAAAAATTAACCAGAATGAGACTAGTTGTTTCTTAAGGTTTTTTTAGATGCTGAATCTGATCACCAAATTATTTCATCACGTCATAATTTTGAGAAATGTTTAATTAAAGCAAAAAAGAGCTTTTTTCACATAAACTTTATTATATTATGCATCAGTCTCGTGTTGATTAATTTTTTTGTTGACCAATATAATACTTAAATCGTCTTCCGCCACAATTCCGCTGTAAAATGTTTACTTCGCCCACGAACATCGCTCGATATTATCTAAAACAAGTTTCCGAAAGTATTTCGGGAAGAGGGAAAATATATATATATAAATATAGTTATCTCGTTTATTATGGTGCACGAAATGTAAGATCGAGCCACCGACCGAGAAAGGCAATTGGCCGGCGAATAGGTTAATGAGCAGCGCATTGAGGGTTCATCTCCTCCAAAAATAACGCCGCGCCACGAATTCACGCGATATGTCGCGGCCAAATATAGATTTCGCGGTTATGAATGGAAAAATGCACGCGAGAGATTCCTTGGCCGGCGTCCAAGGGAGCCTTCTTGGCCGGCGGCCACGCACTTTCGGGCGCCTTCTAAAGCCGGCCTCACACCGTACTAGTTCACGCTCGAAACGGAACAGCTATATCCGTCGTCGTCGTCGTCGTCGTCATCGGAAGAGTCGGCGCGCGCGATGAAGTAGCCGGCCGTCCTGCAAATTTGAGAATTTGCACGACGAGTTGCCGTTAATTGCGGTGTCCCCATGTGTTCCCGAAGCGGCCCCGGGACGATCCTGGTGCTCCGTTTTGCATTCCGTCGCGATGACTCGCCCCGCCAAACGTTACTCATGCGCATCCATCACCCAGGGAACGTTGGCGAATATTAATTAGGTGGAACGGACGTGGAATCGCGATAAATGAAATGAAATCATTTTGG